ACGTATGCGCTTTTTACACACTGCTCCTTTCCTATGGGTCTTTATATAATTACAGGACATGATATCGATTATTCTGGCCATTACATTCCTGATCTTCTCCTACAACGAAATGATGCCTCGAGTCAGCTATATCAAGGCTATGGATATTTATCTTGGTTTGTCCTTGGTCTTTGGCTAACAGCTAACCAAAGTGGTTTCCATTGATTATTTCAGGAGTGTGCTTTATGATCGTTTTTCTCTCGTTGATAAAGCTTGCTTTTGTCAAGTATATGCGGCAAAGGATGAAGATGGAAAGGTAAGCAACTTCCGATACATCACTCTATAATACTCTTTACGAGTCAATACTCATCACTCTCTACGAAAGGCTCTTGCTCCTTTACTAATGGCTGGCTTCTTTTTCAAGTAACTTTTTTTTTGATCAGAGGCAGAGAAAAGTGGTGCCGCTTCCTTCGTACGGCCCAAGGATTGGATCTCACACTACCCCAACCAAGCCTTTCATTTCCCGGGGCTATGACCAAACAGTCGAGCCGGAACTCGTTGTGGAGGAGAACGGCTGAGTTGCACATCGACTGACTTCCACGAGCCGTAGTACAGGCAGAATCCCATTCAACTACCGCTACGATAATGAATATAGGGAAATTGTTGCACTGAAGGTGCCGCATTACAGTAACGGCAGAAGATCCGTTTAGTAAAAATTCCTTATTACTCGAAAAAAAAACAGAGATAAAGGAAACTTTGTCTAGTCCATGCAGAAGTCCAAAACGCGCATCTATCCCGCCGGCTTGAGATGATCTGATTAGAAAAAATGCTATATTTGAATTTGTTCCATGCTGTTCTCACTGTACTTGCAGTCTTTTCGACGCGGAGGCGATCAAATGGATCCTGAACTATAAGAGTGGACCCTCAGTCTGTACTCCACTCCTAACCCTGCTGTATTTCGGGCTTAAGATCTGATCACAAAACCATCGAGGTCATACCTCACTCAGTTTTTAGTTCGATTCCTGACTGAGGCAATGTGCTTTGCCCTTGCTATGACGGCTACCACTGATGTGAATAGAAGAAAAAATTCATAGGCAGCTCAATTCGGGATGCGCCGCGATTCCATCCATTCAGGCTGCAAATGACTACTTGAAAGCTATTTAGCCTTTACAATGTAGGAATACAAAATACAAATACAGATGCAAATATAACCAAATACACCCGTAAGAGCCCGCCCATACACAGTTCAGTGTTTACATCCTCCATAACATGTCTGGTGGGCGGAAGTGGTGTAGTGACAAGTGGCGCGCTTACCACGCGAGCGGTCCGGGATCAAATCCTGGGTCGTGAGTCGCCCGGGCCAACCAAGCCTTCCATCCCTCCGGGGTCGGTTAATTGGTACCAGACTTGTCTGGGAGGATAAAAACACTGACTTGTACATCGGCTGGCCCCCGCAAGTCATTGTATAGGCCACATCGCATTCAAACGCCACTACGAATGTACAAATGGAAGTAGAATGCGTGCCGCATCCCAAAAAGGGATTGATCAACGGCAAATGCTTTATCCTTTTTTATTGGTCTAGTAATAATGCTTGAAGAATGGAAAGCTACGTTGAAGCTAAGACAGAGTCAGCGTTACGGGATTTGAACCCTCGAACCGTTGGGGGGCAAAAAACGGTTTCCCGAAAAGACCCAGCCGCCACTTGTCATTACTCCATTTCCACCGCTATCAATAAACCGTTTTCGCACTTCATTCAATTCTAGTGAGAGCTTTCCATTCGATCAGTGCTGCTATGGTGACCAACAATCGACCAGTGAATGGCGTCATTCCCACAAAACCTGGCTCGAATCTAGTGCTCCGTAATGGAAGGTAAGGGAAGTTTGCTCAGGAGAGCTGTTTCATGAGTAAACTGCACTCATTTTGAACTTTGAGTTACTTGAATTTCTAACACGTAAGCCAGAAAAAATTCAACTGAGGCGAAACGACTTTTTGATGCTCGACTTTTGGGACGTACGATGCAGGCCAAAGCGGTCAGAACTTCTGAACTAGTCGTCGTTTTATGTTTTAGGAGCGAATATGTAACGGTGCCGGTAGCAGATATGGATGACTCCTTTGTGGCTGAGGCTCAGAAGGAACGATTCGGTAATTATTTTGTTGGAACTTTTGCTGAATAAATAATGAATCTATATGTCTTTTCCTCTTGCCTCACACTTGCTCTTTTTTATTACAATCGATTGCGTCCGACTTTTGCAACTAATTGGCCCAAATGTGACATTGTTCAAAGTATTTAAGATGGAAGCTTTTCTTGTCTAGTGCTACCTTTCGAATCGATTACTGCGACAGGGATAAATCTAACTTGCTTAGAAAATCTATTTCAGGTCAAAAAATGCTCAAACTCATGGATATTCGCTTCACGCCGAAAACCATGCACAGATTTCAGTGGATATCTCAGGTAGACCTCTGAATCCAGCCACATATTTGCAGAACTCTAATTAGCCACCTCATAAGAAGGAGGTCAAAATGACTAGAAGACAGATTTTTGGGGATATGAACTCATGCACGGCGACCAACCCTTTTATCGCTTCGGGGCTTGATACTGAAACACCCTGAAGCGAAATCCTGTCTTTTTCCCCTACATGACTCAGTCAGACATGACGTCAAACTTGTGTGGGAGGGAACAAATTTAATCTTAAAGGCAGGCCGGTATGATAAATTTGTATTGAAGAAGGTACTGAAAAACGACTGCGTTAAAGAGAATCTCCGCCTCGGCAAATCCAATTGTGGCGCTTTTGCGGACGAAGGGCTCCTCTGTGGCGGCCTGACAGAACCTTACCCGACCATTTCGACGTCTTGTTCCTCCGTCCGCCCACCGTCACTCGCCGTTGCTCCAGTGGTTCTAGTGGAGAGGTGGAGCAAGCATTCACGCTGATGACCTCAGTAGCGATGTGCCTCCCCCAAAGCGGAAACTAATTGGAAAACAAGGGACCTGTAGGTTTGGAACGTTTCCCTTTTTCTTCACCACGAATTTTCCCTTCCCCTTTCACTTCCATTGGGAACCAACTTTTCGTGCCACAAAGCCAACATTGCGCTTCAATGGGTAAGCCAGATTCACGTTCTAAAGCCTCGAACGATTCGGACTGCAAATTAAATGTGTGGCTCATTCCACAAAGGAGTTGATCTTTACCGATCTCCTTATTCGACTCCTACGTGGAG